AACAGATATCCATCACAAATAATCCACATAAAACAGACATCTACCACAAACAATAAACGTAAAAAAATAATTCCACCACAAATTATCCACTCAATACAAACATCCACAACAAATAATCAACGTAAAACAGACATACACCACAAACAATCCACTTAATACAGACATCCACCATAAATAATCCTCTTAATACAGACATCCACCACAAATTATCCACTTAATACAGACATCCACCACAAATAATCCACTTAATACAGACATCCTCCACAAATAATTCACTTAAAACAGACATCCTCCACTAATAATTCACTTAATACAGACATCCTCCACAAATAAAACACTTAATACAGACATCCTCCACAAATAATCCACTAAATATAGACATCCACCACACATAATCCACGTAATACAAACTTCATCCACAAATAATCCACTTAATACAGACATCCTCCACAAATAATTCACTTTATACTGACATCCACCACAAAAATTCACTTAATACAGACATCCACCACAAATAATCCACTCAATACAGATACCCTCCACAAAAAAAATCCACTAAATACAGACATCCTCCACAAATAATTCACTTTATACATACATCCTCCACAATAATTCACTTAATACAGACATCCTCTACAAATAATTCACTTAATACAGACATCCTCCCAAATAATTCACTTAATACAGACATCCTCCACAAATCATCCATGTAAAACAGACATCCATCACAAATAATCCACATAAAACAGACATCTACCACAAACAATAAACGTAAAAAAAGAATTCCACCACAAACAATCCACTTAATACAGACATCCATCACAAATAATCCTCTTAATACAGACATCCACCACAAATTATCCACTTAATACAGACATCCACCACAAATAATCCACTTAATACAGACATCCTCCACAAATCATTCACTTAATACAGACATCCTCCACAAATAATTCACTTAATAGAGATATCCTCCACTAATAATTCACTTAATACAGACATCCTCCACAAATAAAACACTTAATACAGACATCCTCCACAAATAATCCACTAAATATAGACATCCACCACACATAATCCACGTAATACAAACTTCATCCACAAATAATCCACTTAATACAGACATCCTCCACAAATAATTCACTTTATACTGACATCCACCACAAATAATTCACTTAATACAGACATCCACCACAAATCATTCACTTAATACAGACATCCACCACAAATAATCCACTTAATACAGATACCCTCCACAAAAAATCCACTAAAAACAGACATCCTCCACAAATAATTCACTTAATACATACATCCTCCACAATAATTCACTTAATACAGACATCCTCCACAAATAATTCACTTAATACACACATCCTCCACAAATAATTCACTTAATAGAGACATCCTCCACAAATAATTCACTTAATACAGACATCCTCCACAAATCATTCACTTAATACAGACATCCTCCTCAAATAATCCTCTTAATACAGACATCCTCCACAAATAGTCCACTTAATACAGACATCCACCACAAATAATCCACTAAATACAGACATCATCCACAAATAATCCACTAAATACACACATCCACCACAAATAATCCTCTTAATACAGACATCCACCACAAATTATCCACTCAATACAGATGCCCTCCACAAAAAAAATCCACTAAATACAGCCATCCTCCACAAACAATTCATTAAATACAGACATCCGCCACAAATAATCCACTAAATACGGACATCATCCACAAATAATCCACTTAATACAGATATCCACCACAAATAATCCACTCAATACGGATACCCTCCACAAAAAAAATCCACTAAATACAGCCATCATCCACAAATAATCCACTAAATACAGACATCCTCCACAAATAATTCACTTAATACAGACATCCTCCACTAATAATCCACTTAATACAGATATCCACCACAATTAATCCACTTAATTCAGACATCTTCCACAAATAATCCACTTAATACAGACATCCACCACAAATAATCCACTAAATACAGACATCATCCACAAATAATCCACTTAATACATACATCCTCCACAAATAATCCTCTTAATACAGACATCCACCACAAATAATCCACTTAATACAGACATCCACCACAAATAATTCACTTCATACAGACATCCACCACAAATAATCCATTTAATACAGACATCCACCACAAACATTCCACTTAATACAGACATCCACCACAAATAATCAAATTAAAATAGACATCCACCACAAATATTCCACTTAATACAGAAATCAACCACAAACAAAATCCACTTAATACAGACATCCACCCAAAACAATCCATGTTAAACAGACATCCACCACAAAAAACACCTAAAACAGACATATAACATAAGGTGAGGGATTGACAGAAAAGACACGTGTATTGACAAATAACATAAGGTGAGCGGTGAACAGAATAAACACATGTCACTTTATTTATTGACAAATAACGTAAAGTGAGGGATTGATAGAATATACACGTGAATTGACAAATAACGTAAAGTGAGGGATTGATAGAATTAACACGTATATTGACAAATAACGTAAAGTGAGGGATTAATAGAATTAACACGTGTATTGACAAATAACGAAAAGTGAGGGATTGATAGAATAAATACGTGTATTGACAAATAACGTAAGGTGGGGGATTGATAGAATGAACATGTGAATTAACAAATAACGTAAGGTGAGGGATTGATAGAATTAACACGTATATTGACAAATAACGTAAAGTGAGGGATTGACAGAATAAACACGTGTATTGACAAATACCGTAAATTGAGGAACTGACAGAATATACACGTGTATTGACAAATAACGAAAAGTGAGGGATTGATAGAATAAACGCGTGTATTGACAAATAACGTAAGGTGGGGGATTGATAGAATGAACATGTGAATTGACAAATAACCTAAGGTGAGGGATTGATAGAATTAACACGTATATTGACAAATAACGTAAAGTGAGGGATTGACAGAATAAACACGTGTATTGACAAATACCGTAAATTGAGGAACTGACAGAATATACACGTGTATTGACAAATAACGAAAAGTGAGGGATTGATAGAATAAATACGTGTATTGACAAATAACGTAAGGTGAGGGATTGATAGAATTAACACGTATATTGACAAATAACGTAAAGTGAGGGATTGACAGAATAAACACGTGTATTGACAAATAACGTAAAGTGAGGGATTGACAGAATAAACACGTGTATTGACAAATAACGTAAGGGGAGGGATTGATAGAATTAACACGTGTATTGACAAATAACGTAAAGTGAGGGATTAATAGAATTAACACGTGTATTGACAAATAACGTAAGGTGAGGGATTGATAGAATGAACATGTGAATTGACAAATAACGTAAGGTGAGGGATTGATAGAATTAACACGTGTATTGACAAATAACGTCAAGTGAGGGATTGATAGAATAAACACGTGTATTGACAAATAACGTAAATTGAGGAACTGACAGAATATACACGTGTATTGACAAATAACGAAAAAATCACGTAGGATATCACACTTGGATGTCAACATCCAAATAATGTATCAAAATTTTCTGAATTGTCATATAAATGACTGGCTGAAGTATTCGACTTTAATTTGTTATAATGGAGTTTAGCACGTAATCCGCGTTTAATGGTGGAGGGGAGACAATCGCGAATTTCACTGGAATGCAATGCAAAAGCCATGGAATCGAGACCACAAGAAAAGAAAGAAGAACAAAACCAGAAAATGCATCTTTGATCAAAATATTTAATTGTTTAACTTCAAAAAATAAAAATAAAATTGTGACATATTTGTGCCTTTTATTTGCGTTAAGTATTACTTAAATATAATGTTAACAGTAAGTAGTATTATTTCAAAACAGAACCAAACCGATTCAGTGTTAAACCGAAATATTGTCAAATGTAGCTGAATAGACGTCAATATTATTGATGTTCGTTCAATTAATATTGTATTAAAAAATTCACGCATTTTTCATTTCAATCGAGCAATTTTAAATTGAATGATAAAAAACGTTAAAAATAGACGTAGATCAAAATAATTACCACAAAGGACATTTCCCCACAAATTGCTACTAACGTTAACTATATGAGGTGTAGTTGTGTACATCAAGTTCAACGGACACCATAAAAGTGCTATACGTCTGTATACTATATTGGTGTCAGTCATAGTGTTATTCTTTGTTGACGCTAAAATCTGAGCCTCATTGTACAGTGAGCTAGGTGATTAGGCCCCCTTCGTCAAGCAGCGATTGTATCTTAGAAAAAAATGCGATAAAATGATGATGGTATTAATTGTGTAAAAATATCGAATTATGATTTTTTTATGATTTTTTGTTCAACTATGTAATAATTAAAACAAATTCAAACTGTTAGGCCCGAGACTCAACAGACCCCATTCTCCCATCACGGAGTTATCTAAGTCCGTGCTCCCATACATACGTACAACGAGATTTAAGTATCACAGACAAACGGTTATTATAGTAGTGACGTCTGTCACTCAGATATATTATGTGTAATGTATTTCACTATCAGATACGTACGTTATATCCAAAATCTCATTTTAATGGGGGTTTTAAGCGGAAATACAATAGAGCTACTCTGTAAAAGGAGACAATCATTTATTTCTTTCTAGTTCTCGACTCTGCATGGAAAATTGTTTAACTTTGTTCTCAATCTGATTAAAATACTTATCCGCATTGTGTAAAAGTTATTTAACGTTATCAGAATGCTTTATTCTGTGAATACTGTGAAATTAATAAAAATATTCTTTATTGTGAGTGATAAAACACAAATTATGTCTAGGTTAAATTCTAAAATGACTGAACAGATACTGAACATGACATTTAAATTTGGACAAGATACGAAATCTGTAGTTCTAGTTGGACAAAAAGAAATCCCTCCTTAGGCCCCATTCTCAGTTTACGCATGGTTGATTATGCCGATGCTTGGCAAGCGAGGGCGCTCTCGGTCTAGCTTCCTGTCAAGCATATGTGTGGCTACTTTAGGAAGGGGATTTAGGAAGAGATTCCCAGCACCGGCTTCTGAATAAGTGGATATTTTACCATTTTCTGTGTAAGTATGCCAGAATCCCAATCCCATAATTCAAGCTGAGCTAATGCGAACCGGAAAGTAAACTATTCAGCGAGGAAACATTTATGGAATCGTCCCGGTGCTTATGCTACAGGGAAAGGTGAAGTCTAGTTGACAGTTCAGCCATGCGAATCTCATTATCTCCTTACCTCAAAACTGCTGGTTGTTACCATTTTATTATTTTGATGGAGACGCAGCACAGCTATTTCGGCCTGAGCTGTCATTAGCAACACATACATCTACCAACTGTTGAAGGTGCTACTTTCCATGGTTCGTGCTCTGTTTGACCAGATGTATTATACGTCTCTGGTTTGACCCAAAATCTGAACAAATAGATCAATTTTTAAAAGCAAATATTTTAAATGCTGACCATCCATTGATGCCTGAGGCCTTAATAATTGATGGGCATCCAGTCAGAGTATTATACGTCTCTGATTCAATTGACATTCAATTATATAATGAGTATGAAACTTGTTGGTTTGGTCAGACAGTGCAATTTTGTGTTAAGTTTATTGGTTAGCCTGCAGGCTGATTATAAATTCTGCTAGTCCAATGATCATGACCAAGGTATATTTTCATAGTAAATATTGAAAAAAAATGTGTTAGCTTTGAAAAAATATTAGCAGGGTACTAGCAAATGGTGTCAAGCAATTAGAAATGTACACACCTATCAGATATGTTATCACTTTCTATATACTGACATCTGACAAATTTCACAAATGAAGACTTATTTAATATAATTGTCTCCCTAGCTGTTCAGGGGAAGGGATTGGTCAGAACTTCTCAGAAAATCATATGATGTTGTTTATAATATAATTCTGCACTAGCCTTTTTAATATAGAAAAGTGTAAATCTCATGCCAGTATTTATTAAGTGTGTTTGCTCCAGCTATTCTAAGGATTTCAGGAAACAACTAAACACAATTAAAAACATTTTTATATAAAAATATTTTCAAATGATTTTTAAAACTGAACATTGAAATTCAAAATTTAATTCCTGACAACACTAAGTGTGGTCTTAGTATATGTAGAAAATAAGTCTGTAGGACTGTATACATTTGATTGGATGTTCTAACATGCGATGGTTCCAAACATTACGAAGAACTTCGCAACAGAGATTGCAATTTTGATGTTGATGCTATGACCATTAGCTGGAGCCTTGTCACCAGTGAAGGAGCAATGCTTGCGAGAGTCATTTATCCCAGCTGCCCTATCTAGAATCAGTAGCATTATCTTTGATGTGGTAGGAGGCCATGCATGGACATATGTCCTAGATAATGCAAAACAAACCCAAATAGATTACGATGTACTTTTGAAACATTGTCCTGAATGTTATTTCTAATTCCCATATTGAAGCGGACCAATGATAGCTTGATCAGTTTTTATTAATAAAATCTACCTGTCGGTGTCTTTGTGCAGTCTCAGTCAGCTGAAAGTCTGCCATTCTTCAATGATATTACAATTTTAATACTGCGAATAACTTAATTTCTGTATGGGACTGTCTACTCACACACTAGTACTGTGGGTGTCAACCTCTGAAACCTCCAATGACGGAGATCTCCCTCATTCCACATTTCCAATGAGGGAGAAAGTGCATGAAATGTGGCTGAAACTGCTTTACTCACTTTATCTTTCCCTTTTTATGTATCAAAATGACTCCAAAAAGCATTTGTTTGATTCAGACACACCTGTTATGACCATTACACACACCCTGCAGTAACTAGGAGGTCATTTGACCTGAGGATGTAGAGTTTGTGTGAGTTTGGACTTGAACGAGGTAGTTTCGAGGGAGATTGTTGAATTTTGGTCAAAATGAGGAAGTGTCCCTCCTAATGACGGAGGGTTGACAGCTATATCCTCTGCTTCTTTTAATTTCAATGCTTTGAAATGATCTTGCAAAAGACAGCCTCAGCTATGGGATGGACAGCAACACTGATTACCCCACAAGTTGTTCCATTTAGATACTTTAATTAATTGCATTTATGAGGGAAATTCCAGGGAATTGTTGGGGGATTGATTTCATACAAATAGTATGTTATTGGTTGAAATTTTTCCTGATTCTGTGTTAGGAGGTATGTAATGATATACAGTATTATAATCCCACTGCTAGTTTTACATCGTAGGTGTCGCTGAAACAATTAAGGTACAATTGAATTTAGTATAGGTCTAGATTGAATAAAACAATACAAATGGTTGGAATTTAAACCTTATATTAGGAGGATTTTTTTTTCAAATTGTACAGTACATATAATGCATAACTTTCTTATGGATTTTAGATTTATTAATTATATAGGTCTATCTAACAAAATCATGTAGTACATTTGTATGTATGTATGTATGTAGAACGTTGTACCCTGTTTAGTACAATAAAGGGTTAACACATCACTTCATACTTGCTACAGAATAATAAAGACACACCCTGGAATGTGTGGTATTTACAATGCTGTCTGTTGGTTTTGTCCTAAATACTTTACTAAAAGGAAATCTAGACACCCACTACTGGACATCTGATGAACTGTTTTTGACAAATTGTAAGTGGTATTTTGGGTATACATAGATATTACATGTACATCAACTCAAGTAGTAAGCTTGATAGGAAGTAGAAGCTTTCTGAGGTACATGTACTTCAGAATTTTGTTACAGCTAGTGTGACTGGCGGTAATACATTCATGAATATCACGGTCAGTAGTTTTGATTTCCACTAATTTTAGTACACACAGACAAAAGTTTGCTGGTCACTCGGTATATATACATTTGTACAGGTAAGTCTTACTCTTCAATGGCTTGAAGGTGATATGATATGGGATTATATAGTGTGACTATGTTGAGACACCTGTAAGTGTACATAATAGTACAAGACTGACCAAGGTCGTCTGTCAAACTATTTTACAGGTATATGTACATAGGTGCTCTGAAATGCTGAGGTAAGTTTATGTAGTGGTCAGTGACGTGCCTGTGTGTAATATGTGGTAGTACACACATAAATGTTGTAAATCTCTGTGATAATACACTCAAATTTGCCTTTAGTGTCTGTATACATGTACAGTACACATGTAGATATGTACACAAATTATACACACATCTACATGTACAAGATGTACAGCATGATGATAGTGTGTAACCAGTGCTGCTCTTCTACAAATCTTGGTAATATTATATCATGAATGAAAACATGCATGATTTACAGTGTGTACTAGGGGTCATTTAATAAGATTAATGCAGTGCTTTCTCTAGGTTTCCTCAGAGTGAGGAGCAGTGGTAGTGTTACATACAAATGTACTACGTACAGTAGGCAGAATTTTGAGGGAAAAAAGGAATGGGGATTCCCCTAGCCCATCCTCTCCGCCCCCACTTGTTGGGGGGGGGGGGGGGGGGGGAAAAATTTTTTTTTTTTAAAATTTTTNGGTAAAACTTATTTTTTCTTGAAAATTTTGATATTCAAGATTTATATTATCTAATTGTGTGTATATGTGGATAAATAATGGCAGATTTCATCCTTTTTGTATCATACATACATGTCCATTGAAAAACTAATATTTTTAAGAGGACATGGATATATATGTACGTGTTATTTGGTATTATAAATAATTTTAGCTTAGAATTAGATTGTAAGTATTCGAAAGGCTAACTAAATAAATAAAGAATTCGTTTTTTCAACGAAGTATGTGTACCTCAGACAAAATATAAATGAATTTGCTGATATTGTAATAATTTGTTTGATATATTTGTTTACATGTTTACAGATGTGTATGTGGTACCTGACAGTGTGAGAGTTCAAGTCTGTGTGTGAAAACTGTAGCTACCTGTTGACAATGGCAGGCGCAGTAGATGATGATGTGAAGCTGCACATGCTGGCAGCTGAGGAAACAGCTGGTGAGTAACATTGATTAACATGTCCTGTAATACTGATATAGCTTACACTGCTGCTGAAGTCATTAACGATATTGGTATTGAATTATATATATGTATTTCATGTTCTCTATATGGACATGGTCCTGAGCTGCTATCTAAAATCTTCATGCTCTTTATTTACTGATGTACTGTGCAGGTGTAATAAACTATGATTTCCCCATGTTGTTTAAATTGATAAAATTATTCTAGGTACACATGTACACTGATCCGTTCAGAAATATTTGGGAGGAACATTATCACCTAGGATATGTTACAAATTGTGCTGGTGATCATTTCACCATTATACAAAATAAAAAAGTGCTTCTGACACATCATTCTTCCAAATGTAATGTTTTGATAAACTGTCAATGTTTGTAAAGAGTAAAATAATGTTTTCAGAAACATTTAAGAGTGTAGACAATGAACCTGCTATGTTTGTGTATGTTTGTTGTCTACAGTGGGTCGACCTGCTATACTCGGTATGGAGATCTTTATGATGTTGTGTATGTTTGTTGTCTACAGTGGGTCGACCTGCTATACTCGGTATGTAGATCTTTATGATGTTTGTGTATGTTTGTTGTCTACAGTGGGACGACCTGCTATACTCGGTATGTAGATCTTTATGATGTTGTGTAGATAGAATTTTATTTTTGATGTTACTTTCGTTGAACCTACTCTATTTTTTTTGCTCACAATCGTTTGTTTATTGTTGTGTTGTGTACTATGATGCCCCTTTTGTCTCAATTTGGATGCTGTACCTACAACGATATTATTGGAGGAAGGTTTGGCATGTTTGCTTAGGAGGTCTGGAAATCTAAAATGACTACAACACTGAGCTCAAATACACTTGTGTTCCCTTCCTGTATTTTTATGCATTCGCTCTTGTTCAGTCCTTTGATCTAATTTATTATAAGATTTATCAGAATCACGATTTTATATTTAGTGTGTAAATTGTATGCATACATGTATCTATACTTTAAATACAATAATGTTTCGTGATTTCCAGTATCCACAGCTAGTCTCCATTTTACCTGTGGCTGTGAAGTTTATCATTCACATTACAGAGGAAAAGATTGATACACATAAGTGACAGTGTGAGAAAGCCTTGTAACATTATATCAGTGGATCTGTCACGGCCCTGTTAACCTGACACCTCCAGTTTCTGTCCTGTGTATATATATCTTCTCACAATTTGTGTTATATATGTAGTGCTGGATAAAGTAGATATATATCTTTCTGTGTAAAGTATATTTTTCGGTCACATGGATGTCATATATTTACTACACAAGGAGGGATTCTCGGGCTGTACTTTTCTAGATCACATACTTACCAACTTTACATCTTCTGATTTGAGATGGAGACTCCCAATTATGGATACCAGAATATGATTTTTGCAACCAGTGACCGCTAAACAATTCCTATACAACTAAATATAAAAGAACAATGGAAGGATGCCATTTTAAAGTGCTATTTTTTCCTTAGTGTATATATGAGCATGCCAAATCTAACCCATGATTTAAAAGGTTCTCAAAAATGAGCTCACATCAAATTTGTGTGTTTTAATGTTTTGTTTATATAATTAAGATGTCTGTTGTTATCTTTTGTTGTATGTTTTAGTGGCATTTGTTGAAATTCTATTATCATTGAACATTTTTAGAAAACAGTTATGAGAAATCGGGGTCGTCTAATTGTGAAATAATGTTAACTGTGCAAGTATTCTGCATGTCTGCTCTCCAAACACTCGTCCATAGCTGTCAACCCTCCCTCATAAGGAGGGAGACCCCCTCCCATAGCTGTCAACCCGACCTCATAAGGAGGAAGACCCCCTCCCATAGCTGTCAGCCCTACCTCATAAGGAGGGAGACTCCCTCCCATAGCTGTCAACCCTCCATCATAAGGAGGGAGACTCCCTCCCATAGCTGTCAACCCTCCATCATAAGGAGGGAGACTCCCTCCCATAGCTGTCAACCCTACCTCATAAGGAGGGAGACCCCCTCCCATAGCTGTCAACCCTACCTCATAAGGAGGGAGATTCCCTCCCATAGCTGTCAACCCTCCCTCATAAGGAGGGAGACTCCCTCCCATAGCTGTCAACCCTACCTCATAAGTAGGGAGATTCCCTCCCATAGCTGCCAACCCTACCTCATAAGGAGGGAGCTTCCCTCCCATAGCTGTCAACCCTACCACATAAGGAGGGAGATTCCCTCCCATAGCTGTCAACCCTACCACATAAGGAGGGAGATTCCCTCCCATAGCTGTCAGCCCTCCCTCATAAGGAGGGAGACCCCCTCCCCTAGCAGTCAACCCTCCCTCATAAGGAGGAAGACCCCCTCCCATAGCTGTCAACCCTCCCTCATAAGGACGGAGACCCCCTCCCATAGCTGTCAGCCCTACCTCATAAGGAGGGAGACCCCTTCCCATAGCTTCCTGTAGAAAAATAAATTATCTCTGTTACTTCATTTTTGCATGGATATGATAAAAGTTACCTTTGTCAGCATATATTAATCCAATATGAGACGACCTTGAATGAGCTTGTGCTTCAGGTTGCAAATACTTTATAAACACTTTAGAAGTATACAGATATATTGATGCATACTCATTTTCAGCGATTGACTGAGAACAGAATTACTATCATGCTAGTAATTATAGGTACATAAATGTAAATGCATCACAAGCCTCTGTTACAGGCTGGTTGTACATGAGGGGATACATATTATTTGTGATACCTTAGTATATTATGAGTGTTTCCCCTTGTCTGGCCCCTCAGGTAAAACTGCACGCATGTATACATCTATATATATATCAAGTGACCCCTGACCAGGTATTTAGCATTATGTATGACCTTTCCTGTTCACTGATTCCACCTGTACACATGTTCCAGGGAGGAGACCTGATCGTGAGATTTTCACATTTTTGTTTTTTTGCATTTATTCTTGTACTGTACTTGTTAACGATGTTTTATACCAAGTTGTAGGTGTCATAATACACCTAGGGTAGGGCACTATAACTATGAGGTAGCTAAGGTGTAGGTATCTTAGCCATATTAGACAGGAAGTACATATCTATAGATAGAACTAGCACTGTCATCTCTACCTGTGTAACTTATATTACCCAGTGTTTTTGTTGTTATAACTAAATGTCCTACAGCTTCACTGTGCCGCCGAGCATAAAATGTACAGATACAGTGTATGTTTTGAGACTTTTGTTTGAAAAGAAACGCTCTATATATAGATGGCAGATTGTATGTACATGTATGTAACAGTCTAAAAGCTACACTATAGTAGGCATGGTTTGTATATATATTCCACTACCTATAACTTGATAGGTTGTTTATCACTCATGTTACCATTGTTGAATTACTGTAATTTTTTACCATGCAAACATATCTGAAATACTTTAATTGGACAGATCATTATAAAGGAAAACCAATTTTTGGAAAGAGTTACATTTATTGCTTCCTTAAATAATTTCATACTACAGTAGTGCATGTGTATGTGACGTTATATTTCAGATTTATAAAACCTTCGGAAGTTTTTTAAACATGTATAATATTTTGTATTAACTAAAGCCTGGGAACAGTTAACAGATGTCCAGATTAATATGAAGTTTCATTCAGTGTCACTTGTATGCAATAAATATACAATAAATAACCTGTTAGAAAATTATAAATGTATAAATAGTTGATAAGTGTACACCTGTAACGGTTCAGTATTCCGACTGTTTACATGGACCCCTGTTACCTTGTATATATGTCATAGGTGTACATGTGTAGGTGGAATGGATAAATAAAGTAAACATAGTCTGGCTCCAGGTAGGGCTGCACATTATGTCTGGTACAACTTGATATCTGATTCAGAAAGCGATTTGATGACTATAGGTCTACAATATACAAACAAAGCATTACTGGCAATAATGTCTGTATGAACATGTCATAATCAGTGTTGACTTGATAGAGAGATGTATGTACCAACAGGACAGATACCAGGTAGGTTTCCCTCCACCAAAACACACCAGGGTTATAGCTCACCTAGGCATGGTATTTCTGTATAGTTTATATTTCACTTAGAAATAGACACTGCATGCATATGTGTTCATAAATTCATCTTAGATACCTTCAGTGTATGATCTTTGCAAGTTTGACACAATTCACATAACCATCAAATTGCTGTGACATAATATCTTAAGTGTTAGATTTTATCTAACACAACAAATATTTGTAATTTGAAAATTGTAGTTATGTTTTTATGTTGACTCCCATGTTTACACTATTTAGTACAAAAACTGTAATTGAAGACTGCAGTGGATCTTTTAAAGCCAACATGTGACTATCTGATAACCAGTCTGTGTTAGGGTGATCGTATTACGTTCATATGTTGGACAGGACAGTGATTTTACTCGCCCACACCTACGCAGTGACCTAGGCCTGTACATAGCATTTATACTTTTTTGAAACCTAATCTTGTTTTTAAATTGTTTAAATAGTTCAAAAGATAAATGTGTTGCCTTTACCACACTCGTGTCTTTTGGTGTAATGGGTCCAATTCTAGGTTTAACAACTGTTTATAATCACACCAGTATTTATGTATTGAATGTGAATTAATTCTTGACATTTCGTCAGATAATGCATGTTATCTCATACAGACATTACAATGGAACTTCCTTAACCCTTTCACCCCTATGTAACTTTAGTAGACTTTACCATGCATTGATCTGGATGAGTCCATTTTGGTCTACAGTGGTGAACGGGTTAATCTGGACACTTTTCTTCCCAGGGAAAAGTTTACAGATTGATAGAAACAGAGAAAAAATGTATCTTCAGGGTTTCTACAAAATGCTTCACTGTTAACCAGAAGAAATGAGATAGATGTTGTATTACTTGTTTGAAATTGTTGATATAGATGTACATGGACACTCACTATAAAAAAGGAAACTAAAGAGTGTCATATAAAACAAATGAAAAATAATGGTAGTTTGAAATATATATTTATCAAAGTATTTTCCTAAAAAGAATGTACTGGTTTTCTAATAGTTGTTATTCATGTCCATTTCGCCTGTTAAATACACATGTGCCAGAAATAACATACGGTAGATGGTATCTCCTAAATTGTAATTATGTAAACAAAAAATATTTAAACAGACCATATTGTTTTAGTATTCAACCTTATAACCACACCTAGATCTCATTCTGCCCTGTACTCTACCTAAAGAAGGAGCATGTCTCACGAAAATGTCTGCATACAGTTCAGTGCAATTCTTGAAAAAAAAAAATGAAGTAAATATACCTATTTAATTTAAGTGAACTTTCATCTTTTGTCTTATATTTGAATGTTAATTTACTTTGCTAAACTGTTCTTCAACCTTTGGAGAAATGAAAATGGGAATGGTATGAAGGAATGCATGTTTGGCTACAATACTCCCGCTCTGCAAGTGCTTGTTTTATTGGTGTACTTATATGGTTGAATACAATAGGAGGATATCAGATATCTACCTGTCTGTTTGATTGTATTGTAATGACTTTGTATTCCATTCCAAACCTACTCCCTCACTTTCAGCCTAACTAAGAACAGATATGGACAGACTGAACTCCAGAGAACCCCTTTGGGATGTG